CTGGATGAACATAAGTTTTGAACTACATGCATCACGATTTTTCAGACATTTCCTTATCCTCTTTTAAAAATATTTTTCATACCTGGAACCAACTCTAAATTCTTTGATTTCTCTCTCTCAAATCCCTAACTCCAGGAACTTGGCCCAGGTAGATATGCATGCTCCACCCCCTGGTGTCATAAAGCCTGAGTGGAAGGTACAGCGCTGGATGCTTTCTGTGTTCTGTGCAGTTGGCACTCACCTCACTGTACTCAGACATTCTGGAAATTTACAAGATGTTTGTCTTAATCACTGTAACCAAGCCTGTGTGCTTTGGTACCTCTCAGAAAGGAGGATGCTCTGAATAAGATCTTTGCAAAGGAGCAATCTCTGACATTGGCACACCACAGAATGTTCTTCAGTTCAGGGCTCCAGCTGGCTTAGGTTTGGGCATGTGAGACTCTGTAGCTTCCAGAACATTAGTGAGTGATGGCTAGCAGTGAGGTCCACGGCAGCATGACTGTGGTGGTTCATAATGGGACTGTGGGTGGATGAGTTTGGTTTATTACTCATCTTGCCAGGATTTCTGTGGCTGCTATGGGGACATCTAAACGATTGTCATCAAGGCTCTATTTTTGGTTTTGATGGTAAGTTCTTTCCTCAACTGGGTCTCTTTTTACACATCTGGGAGTGGGTCAGGTATTTGGAATATCACATGATGGTTATTTCAGGGCTGCCTCACACTCCATCCAAATCTAAGGCAGCTCTCCTTGATGGAGCTTACAGACTAATGTGTCCAGGATGGAGTGTCTTGAGCTATAGGTAATGTCACCAGATTCAAAGGCCGGTCCTGGTTCTAGCATGTCCTAGCTGTGTGGCTTGAGACACTTCACCTGTTTGAGACTTGGTTTGTTCATCGTTAAGTTTTGTGTGCTTTGATATAAACCAGACAGGGTTGTGAAAATTAAGTTAAATATGGTACACCTCTCCTGCATGCCATACCCTCATGTTTATGTAAATCAAAACACCTTTTTTGGAATGTGGGGGCTCAAATCATCTCTCAGCCAATCCAACTATTAGTGTTTGTTTTTACTCCAGTATCCAGTACAATGCACTCCAGATTGTGGGTAATTTGGATAAGTTGGATAAATGAATCAATGTTAAAGCAATAAAACAGAAGTTACGTTAAGGGACTGTTATAATCAATGCCTACTTTCTTAGACCAATACAGTGTTTGCACTGTGGATTCAGTTGCAAAGTATTGCATGAGAGAGAGGGCTTTAAGTTAAGGAGAATCATTAAAAATGTTATGAACTAGAAGAGACTATATTTTTCCATCCTTCTAAAAAAGTGGAGGTCACTCCCTGAGGGACAAACATGACTTACCCCTGGGACTACCACTTTTGGAGCTCAACTCTGTTTAGTTGTTTATTTGAACAGTCTTATCCCCTTTCTACCCTCTCCCATTACATTTTATTTTTTATTTATTACATAGATGACAATAGTGGAGTGAATTACATTCATAATTATCCATTTACAGCACAATTTTTCGTAACTCTGTATCCCATTACATTTCTACTTCCTATATAACTGGACTAACAATATCCTCAGCATGATTCAGTGTCCTTGTCCTGTTTATCTTTTGGTGTTGAATAGTTTCTGGTACAGATTAGATGATCAGAGCAGATTTGTTGCATGGTAGGATGAATAATTGTTCTCTCTCTGTTCCCTTCTCCTCTTCAACTTCTGTCAGTTTTGTCCTGCTTTTATTTATTTTTGGCTATTTAAAAAACCATTGGGTCTCAGATGCAGAATTGGATTAAGAATGTCATAGCTCTCAGGTTATGACATGCTCCTAATGTTGGTTTTTGCATTGCCTGCTCATATATATGGTGTGTCTTTTAAATAGTACAATAAGCATCCATGAACCACTACCAAAACCAAAACCAAAACCAGAGCCTTGATGTTAACCTATGCCTAAGAATATAAAATTCCCCCCCCATTCTCTCTGCTTCTTACAATCACGAATCTTTAATCATTCCTTTGCTTTCTTTTTTATATAGTTTTAAAAATCATATCTGTAAGTATTTCTTTAAATGTAAGTGCTTTTCATTTTGGTTGCTTTTAGCTTTATAAAAAGTATACCATGCTCTTTTTCACTTAAGTTATTGCTGATGCTGACGAATATGTGCAAGAATTTGTTTGGGGTTGAATTTCTGCATTTAGGAAATTGTGAATTTTTGATGTTAGGAGTAATACCAAAACATTTTTCAAAGTTTTATACCAATTACTTTCCTACTATGAATTTTCTAATATGCATAATCACCAAACTTTAAATCTAGGCCTAATGAATGGGTATAAAATAGTATTGCACTGCGGTCTGCCTGGAGCCCTAATGATGCTCATGGTAAACATATCTCCAAATATTTATTGCCTCTTCTGTGAAATGTCTATTCTTCTTTTGGATCATTTTCTGATTGAACTGTTTATGGTTCTCTATTTTAAAGAGTTTGGTGTATACTTCTGATGAGAATTCTTTGTTGATTTCATGTTCCCTGTTCAAATTTTGGTTCTTCGAAGTATTAAAAACCACCCCAAAACTTAGAGACTAAAACAATAAAGGTTTTCCTCTCCACAAGTCTGTGGATTGACTGGGCTCAGCTGGATGGTTCTTCTGCTGCATGTAGTATCAGGTGGGGTAACTCATTCGTTATGTTCAGCCAGTGGCTGGGGTGGACTGAAAGGTCCAAGATGTGCCAGGTGTCTCTGTGCTCTTCCATTTGTCCTCTCTAGTGGGGTACGACTGGTTTTTGTTACTGCTTAGTGACTCAGGGGTAGTTGGTTGTCTCACCCAGAGGCTAGCTCCTGAGACGAAAGAAGCAGAACCTACCAGTCCTCATAAGGCCTATGCATGGATGTCCCAGAATAACACTTCTGCTAAAAGAAAGTAAATAACAAAGTCAATCTGGACTCAAGAGGAGAGAGTACCCTCCAGGGAAAATAGCCTTTTATCTTTTTGTAGTTGAAGTAGCCACCATATACAGAGAGAAAAGGAATTGCTAAGACATTGATTGGAACCACCATGGGGGATTATTGACCACGTGTATAGTGTGAATCTCTTCTACTTGTAACTTTTCACGTCTCTAAAGTACCTTCAATGAACCAAAATTCTTATTTTTAATATAGTCAATTTTATCTATGTATTCTTTTGTGTCTGAAGAAAACATCCGTTGCTCTAAGTTCTCAAGGATATTCATGATTTCCACTAAGAGAATTTAATGTTTTATTTTTGACATTTGAGTTTTTAGTGCATTTGAGTTCTGAAGTTGCTTTATGTTTGTGACTTGGGTAGAAATCCAATTTATTAGATCTAGAAGGAATATCTGTGGGATAGAGAATATCCTTCCTTCTCCCAACAATTCTTGTTTTTGCTCATTTTTTAATATGCTAAGATTTCTTAAGTGCAATGGACTGTTTTCTGGTGCTCTGTTCTATCCCAAAGTTCTATTTTCTTATCTTTCCTTCCTTAATTACAATAGCTTCATAATAAGCCCTGATACCTTGAAGGGAAAATGTCTTACTCTCTCTCTGGACTCTCTTTTCAGCAATATCTGAACTTTTCTGGGTTCTTCACAGTTATATATACATTTTATAATTATCTTACTGTGTTTCAAGAAAATTCTTATTGAGGGTTTCATCAGAATAATATTGACTCTATAGATCAACTTGGGAAACATTTTTATTATGTTCCTTTTGAAGAAAATCTTTCCATTTATGTAGATTTTGAAAATTCTCTTAATTGAATTTATTTTATGTTTGATAAATTTCTTCTGAGGTAATTGATATTCTCTGAGACAATAGGAAATGGTGTTTTTTCCTTTAATTTTCTGGTTCTTTGTTGCTATTATGCAGCACATTCTAGAGCAGGCTGTGAGTTTAAGTTTGTTTCTCTGTCTTTATCTACGTGGGAGCAGAGTAGTTCAGTATGTGGAATCCTACCTTGGCTAAGCATGGTCCTTTGACCCAGTTAAAGTATATTCAACCTGGAAGAGAGGCCTTAGTTCAGCTTTTTTTCCTTATTGGTGCATTGTAATTAATACGTAACAGTATGATTTGTTGTTAGGTTCAGTTTTTTAGATGGTAATTGGTAATAAAATTCCTGCAAAAACAAACAATAACAAAAGAAAAAAAGCCAGAATCAATATAATCTGTCTACAAAAAACAAAAAAGAAAGAAAGAAAGGAAGAAAGAAAGAGTAATTTCGTTAGGAGTTAGAGTTTATAATACCAAACAGACATTGCTCAAAGAAAAATAGGTTCCAATTTACCCATTGAATGAATTGCTGACTTCTCAACTCTGTTCTTCACAGCCATCCACCTCTCCCCATTGAACTGTCAAGCCTTGGACCAGCTGACCTCTATGCCTTTGCTCAGGCTGTTTCCTCCACATGGAACACTTTCACTCTTTGATGCTCACTGTCACTTTCCAAAACCCTTCCTATCTTCCCAGACAGCTTAAGCACTATCTCTTCCACCCTGGGATATCTGTAGCCCTTGACCCCAACACTCTGTACTCTGCAGAGACACTTGCCATCCCCACTTCCCTAATGGTTATTTATATACTTAATACCTCCACTGGGACCATGCACAGTGATCCACTTGGTAACTCAGTGCCTCATACAGAATTGCAAAGAGTAGGATTTAAAGAGTGAAATGAATTTGTTGAAGTGGAAACATCTTTGCATTCCAGATACAGCAGGTTCTTCTTAAATTACTGTGGGGGGCAAGAAAAACATAACTGTAAAGGTTGCAAGATAAATATAATTTATATCCTAGATGATGGCCAGGTGACATGATTTAAGATTAAATAAAAGAGGAAGATTTCACCAAGAACATATTATGATAAATTCCAACAGCTGACATCAATAAGCTGTATGGAATAATCTTTGTTTAGTTAACTTTTGCTAAATTGGTAAGAAAAAAATTGCTTGAAAGTTTAAAAAGGAGTGTTTTGTTTTTCAGGGTCAGTTTTGTGACTATTGTAATTCTGAAGATTCTAGAAGAGCACATCCAGCCACCAATGCAATTGATGGATCCGAACGTTGGTGGCAAAGCCCTCCTCTGTCCTCAGGCACACAGTACAACAAAGTCAACCTCACCCTGGATCTGGGTCAGGTGAGTTTCGCTTTCGATTGGAACAGAAATATTAGTTTGATCACTGTTTCTGTGGTGATTTCTGACATAACAATAATTATCATAAGAAATGAACTTCAGTTTTAATTCACTAATCATTATTAAACCTTTGACTTTAATATTTGCTTATAAATAAAGTTGTACAATATTTTTTGTGACTGGCTTATTCCACTTTTCCTAATCTTTCAAGTTTCATCCATGTAGAAGCCTGTGTCAGAATTTCCCCCGTTTCTAAGGCCAAATAGCATTCTATTCTATGTATAGATCACATTTTGTTTATCCATTCATCCATTGATGGACACTTGGATTGCTTCCAATTTTTGACTATTGTAAGTAATGCTGCTATGAACATGGGTGTGGCAGAGATATTTTTATAACGTTTTCTTTCCTGGAAATCCTGGCGACGTGAACACTGACTACCATAGTTTAGGACTTTGGCCAGCTGGCCCATAAGGGAACCAGGCTTCAGGCCTGTCTTCCTCTAATAAGCTAAGAAGGTCTTCAGGATGGCTGCCCCTGGTGCATTCAACCAGGATAATCAATCCCTTCTGCTTTGATTGTGGATTCTACTCTTGTGATTAGAGGCATTTTGTGGCCAAGATGAAGAGATTTTGTGGATTCATTTAAAACCCAAGTCAGTTGATCAAAAAGGGGATTTTCTTGGGTGGATCTTTCTGATTAGGGGAATTCTAAGAAGGGACTGGGCCCTTCCTGCAGGAAGAGATTTGACCCATGGTCTAAAAGTCTTCTGCTAGTCTTGAAGGGCCAAGATGTCATGTTGTGAACTTACCACAGAGACACTATGTGGTAAGGACCTTATGGTGGCCCCTAGCCAACCACCAGTAAGGAAATAGGGACCTCAGTCCTCTAACCACAAGGAACTGAATTCTTCCAATATCATGTGGAAACTTAGAAGCAAGTCATTCCAGGCACCTTATTGCAGCCTTGACCTTGAGTAAAACCTTGAGTGAAGAATCCAGTCATGCATGAATCTTAACCTGACAAACAGCGAGATAATACATATGTGTTGTTTAGCCATTAAGTTTGTGGTAATTCCATTGTATATCAGTGGAAAACTTCTTGCACCTTCTTATTTCCTCTTTCAGACCTGGGAGCACCTCCCATTTGTTTCATCCTATCCTTTCAACAATTATTTAAGTTCTTTTATGTCCCAGGCAATGTTATAGGCATTTGATTTTATCAGGAAACAAGAGATGGAAATTCCTTCCCTCATGGCACTTATATTCCAGTAGGGGGCAGTCAATAAAAATATACAAAATATTTTTAAACATCTTTGAGGCAGTGGTACATTTTTTTTTTGGTACTGGCAATTGAAGTCGGGGGCACTCAACCACTGAGCCACATCTCCAGCCCTTTTTTGTATTTTATTTGGAGACAGGGTCTCCCTGAGTTGTTTAGGGACTCGCCATTGCTGAGGCTGGCTTGAACTAGTGATCCTCCTGCCTCAGCCTCCTGAGCTGCTACAATTACAGGCATGTACCACCATGCCCAGCTGGTAATTTTTATTTAATAAAATAAAGTGAACTTCAACGAACACTTATTTTTAAAAAGAACAGACTAAACTTTTGTGCCTCCAGAAAATACTATATATAATACAATGGAAAATTCTCTAAAAAAGTTTAGGAACAGGAAAAGCAATGCCAATTAAGTCAGACTGAAGGACATCTTTTCGTTCTTTATGTTGAAGCAACATGTATTTCAACAAACATGTTTTGTCTTGTAAGATTCATATTTTATGCCCCAATTGGTAAGGTCTGTTTTCTGCCTTGTGCTGGAATTTACCATGAGAATGTTATTGTGAGGCTAGATTTCATGATTTCAGAAGAACATTAAGACCTAGACCTAGGAAGTGTGCATTTTGATGCATGGTTGGGAAGTAAAATATAGATCATTAACTTCTGATGACTAAGTCACTTTTCTTCACCTATTGAGAATTAAATTGGACTTTGACATGCGTAGTCCATTTATCAGCTTATGTTGTTGCTAAAGGTCAGTTTTATTTGTTTTCTTTTGAACTTGGTAGTTTTCATTGTTAGTTTTCTAAAACATCATCTTCAGAACTCAATCCTAAAGGGCAGTTTTGCCTTCACAAGGTGGCATGTGTGGAATAGTTCTGTGACTCAGTAAAGCCATTGTGTTTTCTGGGGTTGTTCACTTTCATATGGTGGCACATTGTTCATTAGTTTCAGGATGTACAATAAGAACACAATGTCTTGCTGGGCATGGTGATGCACACCTGTCATCCCAGTGGCTCAGGAGGCTGAGTCAGGAGGATTGTGAGTTCAAAGCCAGCCTCAGCAACTTAGCAAGACTCTGTCTCTAGATAAAATATAGAAAAGGGCTGAGGATGTGACTCAGTGGTGAAGCGACCTTGGGATCAATCCCTGGTACAAAAAGGAAAAAGAGAGAGAGAGAGAGAGAGAGAGAGAGAGAAAACAAAGTCTAAAAGGAAGCTTTCATATTATTTGGCCAAATAGAATGAGCTTATTGTTTACATGTAGAGTGAAATGTAGATGTCTAGTTGTTAAAAGCAGAGTCTGGAATACAGGGACATTTGTTTCTTCCTGGACTCCTGGTAGCACATGCCCCAGTGAGATAGAAGGTGGAGTGACAGAATTAGATACACATCCTGGACTTCCTTCAGAATCCAAGTGACACCCTGTGGCTCCCCTATATGCACTTTCCTGCTCCCTCTCCCAGGTGAGGTCTGAGGTCTACCTCCTGGTAGAGGTAGGTGTGGGGGCTCCTCATGGTACCCTGAAGTCAAGAGGGCTGGGAGGTTGAGAAGAGCTGTCCCTCCGGTAGGAATGAAGAGGGGAACTAGCACAGGAGCAAGACAGGAGCCATGGCAGAGCAGGCCCGGCTTGTTGTCCAGTGAACGAGAAGATCACCGGGAGAATTCCAAGGCTTTCATGCAACTTGTAATGTCTTTAAGAATATGACTTGTAAGCTGTTAGTAGTAAAAACATACAAAGACAAAACCAACACCCTGTCCAAAAACCTCGAAAGGACTGGTGTTTGCTTCATAGGTTAGTGGTATGAAGAGAGAGGACCTGTCCTGCATGGCTGCTGGGGAAGGAGGCCTGTCTGCCCGGGGCAGGTGGTGACTGCAGGAAGTAGCAGCTGAGACAGTCTTTTAGGCCTTGTAGAGCAGAGGCCTCGATGCCCACAGCCCCCTGATCTTCCTCTGAGTGGCAGTGATGGATTGTTCCTCTCCCATCTCACCCCAGGTACTCACCCATCTTGAAGGCCTGCCTGATTCCCTACTTCCCGCCTCAAGGCTCTTTCTGGGGCCTGGGAGCTTTTTAAAGGTATATATAGAACACCTTGGAAAAGATCTGCATTTTATGCCCCAGAAACAAATTTCATCCCACCAGGAATGGGAATTGGTGGAAAATACCCCCATTTTCCTTTCTGAAGGGCATTCTACATAATTTGTAATTCAGAGTGTCACTAGTGAAATGAAGCTTTGGTAGTCCTGGTAGTAATTGTCTGATTAATACATCACTCATTGGCCTTTCCCTGTCTTTTATGTCCCTCACTCCCAATTTATGCTTCTCGAGGTCAACTCCTAAATAAACAACCTGCACACAAATCTTTGTCCTGTGGCTTTAGAGAGGACCCAAAGTAAGTCCGAAGAAAGGGGCTTGTGTGTACAAGCCAACATTATGACAAAGTTATTTAGAATGCAATGGATAGAAAATTCAAAAAGTATTTATAAATCTCTAAGATTAACAGTAATAAAAGAGGGATGGCACTGTGGCTCAGTGGTAGAGCACTTATCTCATATGCATGAGGCCCTGGGTTTGATCCTCAGCACCACATTAAAAAAGAAAAATAAACAAATAAAGACATTGTGTCCATCTACAACTAAAAAATTAAAAAAAGAGTGATGAGGGGCTGGGGATGTGGCTCAAGCGGTAGCGCACTTGCCTGGCATGCGTGCGGCCCGGGTTCGATCCTCAGCACCACATACAAAACAAAGATGTTGTATCCGCCGATAACTAAAAAATAAATATTAAAAAAAAGAGTGATGAAAGAAATAACATTATAATTTTAAAAAAACATCGGCCACAGGAAAAAATTCTATTATTCTACCTTTTATTTTTTTTTTCATGAATTTACCTTGAGCCACCCAGGGGCCAGATGTAAACCACAGGATCCAACCATCTGAGGGTGAATTTAATATGTGTAGATGCCATCTAAGATTTTCTTTTCTTTTTGGTCTTTTTCAACATTTATGAGACTCTGGTGGATGAATCAAAAACATTCTTTGTGGACCTCATCAGTTGTTCTGGCTCAGAGATGGAGGGAGGTCTGGGCTAGTTTCTGATTCTTCTTGGACTTGAGGACTTTGGAGATTAAATTGTTTGGTAGATGAGGTCACTAAGAATCTGACTCAGCTGAGACCTTGGGTAGATAGGGTCCAATCCAGAAGGTGGATGACTTTTGGCTTGTCATGACCCAATCTTTCTGGATTCCTCTGGAATTGCCTAGACTACAAGCTTCAGGAGGCCAGGGACCATGTCTTCTGTTCTCACTACTTCTTTGGCTCCCAACATCTTGCACAGTGCTTAGCATATGGTAGATGCTCAATAACTATTTACTGAGCTAATGTACAATGAACCAAGGGTAACTGAATTATCTGCAGTTGTCCCAGGGTATAGTGGCAATGAAAGCATATTGCCATGAGACCAAATCTCTTGATGGAACTGGGCTAATTATACTTGTGTCTTTTGCAACACCTTCTAAGTATTTTGTAGCTATAACAAGATTAGAGGATATTGAAGACAAATTTTTTACTAATAAGTATGCTATTAATGAGCATAATCATGAGACTCTACCCATGGAAGCAAAAAAAAATTGTTAATTGGTAGAAAATCGGGTGCCAGTAAAATCTCCTGGGACATTGTGTGACGGAGGGGGTGGTGCTGTTTTATCTTTTATGATCCTGTAGTAAT